AGTTAAACCGTTTTAGAAGCGAACACAGAAGGATAAAGTATATGGACTTTGATGCCCGTGTCAGCTTTTAATAACTGTAGAGACGCCATTACTCCTCGGTTGAGCTGCAGCCTGCAGATGAAGCAATATGTGTTTTTTATTTTTATTTCTTGCNCATTTAATTAAGCGTTTTAATGATTTGGCCGATTAATCGAAAAAATAATCAACAGATTAATCGAAATAATCGTTAGTTGCAGCCCTATATCTGAAACATCAGATTTTGTTGTTTGTTCAGTGGCTGAATCAGATTTGAGTTATACAACAGATTTCTGCACAGTGTGTAACAGTTTTAATGTGTTGTGCAGGACAGCAGCTGTTTACTGACGGCAGGAAACGACAAACTGCTGCGTCTTTATGACCTCAATAACCCTGAAACAGGTGAGAGCCAGTACACACCTGGACCTGTGTCTCTGATGAGCTCAGAGCAGGAGTGATGTGCTTTCCCACAGGAAGCGTCAGGTTCATGTGTGTGTGTGTGTGTGTGTGTGTGTGTGTGTGTGTGTGTGTATGTGTGTGTGTTGCAGCTCCTCAGGAGATCACCGGCCACAGTGCAGCCATAAAGAAAGCTCTGTGGTGCAACAACGATAAACAGATCCTGTCTGCTGCGGAGGATAAAACCATCCGGTTGGTGTTAAACCTGAACTCTATTGTGTTTTGATGGGACCTTTAGATTCATGTGCGTGTGTGTGTGTGTGTGTGTGTTCAGGCTGTGGGACAGGAGCTCCATGGAGGTGGTGAAGACTCTGACCTTTGACACGACCGTCAGCAGCATGGAGTATGTGGCTGAAGGGGAGATTCTGGTGATAACTTATGGAAAAACCATAGCTTTCTACAACGCTCTCAGGTAAACCATGTCAGAGGTTCAGACAAAGGTCATCTCATGTGGAGACATATACTTTGTGATCTTACGCTGTGTGTTGAATGACTCTTAGCCACTCTTGCATCAAATTTTAGTTTCGTTTGTCTAAGTCTGACTCAAATAAAAGTTGACTGTAGCAGCCATCTTGAGTGGAGTTGACTCCCAAAGTCAGTCATCTGTAGATGTACTGTACACTTATTGGTTGTTTTCTAAAAGCAGCAAGTGCAAATGGTTCCACTAATCTGCTAAAATTGGAAGTAGCTTCTTATTTATCAGAAAACAATTAGCCTCACTAAATTGGGTTCCACTAATTTTAAGTCCACTAAAATGTTCACGAGTGTTAAACTTCTTTTTTTATGCCGTTTATTCCAAATTGAATAAAACTCTCCACCTCTATAAGCTGTGCTGGACGTGTCAGGTACTGTGTGTGTAGCATGTAGCATCTTTAGCAGCTGACCTTCAAACTAAGAGTGTGGAAAAAGAGATAAGTAGCATTCAACAATTTTTAAAATCAAAATAAAATTGACTATAAAAAATAGAGAAAGTATTTTATATTTGTTGTTTGACTAACTTCAAACTGTACTTTTAAAAATACAAATTTGATTTTAAAATGCTTTTATTCTGAAAGGGTTTAACTGGAAGTATCATAAGATAGACAGAGCCTTAACTCTGGTTTGGATTGGTCGATTTTCCACAGATGATCCTGCCCACCTTCAGATTAAACCAATATAAACAAACATCAGGTTTGTGTCTGACGTATCAGTCATGTGACAGACTGACAGTCGTCAGCAGTTGGTTCGTTCCACTAATTTTCAATCAGTTTAKTGTTAGCAGAGCTAAGATTCTTGTAAATGGTAATGAAAAATGGACCGTACCAAAATAGTACCTTTCTATCTAACCAGGATCCTCAAAACCCTTCATACCACAATCTCTGGCGTCTAGGGCTGTGTATTGGCAAGAATTTGGCGATACGATACATATCATGACAGAGGGGTCACGATACGATATATTGCGATATATCCCGATATATTTCGATACTGTAAACAAGGCGATATATTGCGATATTTTTGGTCCAAAAATTCTATTAAATAAAAACCTCTTACT